TCTTGGTAACCCCATGTATGTCAGAGTAGATCTGTGCTTTCAGTGGCTGGTGTTTCAGAAGTAGAGGCTTTTCTTCTGAGGTACCTCTGGGTAGACTTGAACCTCCAATCTTTCAGTTAGCAGCCAAGCATGTTAACTGTTTGCACTATCCACGGCAACTAACATGTTTTGCAATATTAAAATGAGAATGTAGCACTATCGGCCCTAGTCCTGTTAGGAAAAAGATGGCGCATTCAAACTGGATAATTTGAGAGGATTAAATGAAGAGACTATTCACAGATATGTGAGCAGAAATTAGAACAAAGGATATACCCTGGGCTAGCAACAGAGAGGATGGGATATTGCCCCTTAGACCTGAGAGGCAAAGGGAGCTGTGTGGAGAAAGCCATTTGACAGGAGCTGTAGCCCCAGGTAGAGGGTCAAAACCCTGCAGAAGGGAAGCCAGGGCAATAAATGTCCTGTCCCCATACTCCTGCCAAAGCTTGCATCCCCACCATTGACTGAACCTGGAAGATAGAGGGTGAGAGAGCCCATTGATGCAGTCTGTGAGTTGGCTTCCAGGGTCACAGTTCTGAGTGCATTGGAGAGGGTGCATTGGTAAGATCCAGAAGAGAGTTAAAACATTTTGTTTTCAGGTAGTAACATACATAGTTGAACTGTTGTGAATCTGGTATTGTAACAGATGAAAACTCATTGTCGAGTTATTGTAAACGTGACTTCCCTTAAGAAGGAAATTTTAATTAAGATAAAAATATACTAGAAATTCGATTAAGGGTCAAAAATGGTGTCCAAGTCCTTTAGATATTAAGGAAAGAATGTAACTGCCCTATGAAAGGACTTAGTTTGAGAAGAATTTTCCTGTGATACTAACTTTAAAAAGTTTATTCTGGTAAAATATATATAACAAAACATTTGCCATTTTAACCATTTTTAAGTGTACTATTTAGTGACGTTAATTATATTCACCATGTTGTGTAAACATCACCATTATCTAGTTCCAAATGTTTTTTTTTATTACCCTAAGCAGAAACTCAGTACCCCTTAAGCAATACCTCTCCATTTTCCCCTCTCCCCCAGGCTTCGCTAGCCACTAATAAACTTTTGCCTCTATACTTTGCCTATTCTAGACATTTCATGTAAGTGGGATAATACCATATTTGTCTTTCTTTGTCTGACTAAGTTATCAGTATGTTTTCAAGATTCATCCATGTTGAAGTATATATCAGAACTTCATTTCTCTTTATGGCAGAGTAATATTCCATTGTATGGCTGTACCACATTTTGTTTATCCATTCATCTGTTGATGGACATTTAGGTTGGTTCCACCTTTTGGCTACTGTGAATAATGCTGCAGTGAACATTGGTGTACAAGTATCTGTTTGAGTCCTTGCTTTCAGTTCTTTTGTGTATGTACCTAGGAGTGGTGTCACTGAGTCATATGGTAATTCTATGTTTAACTTTTTGAGGAAGATATAATACTAACTTTAACACAGAATTTTCGATCACTATCCTAAAAAATTGCCATTGAAAATAAGCTATATAGCAGACAAAGAATATTCCATTGCTTTTTGGAGTAGAGGTGTCTGCTCACTTTTGGGGAATGAATATACCTGTGTATGTGATTGAGTGTGTGTGTGTGTATTTAAATACATATGAGCGATAGAGGGAATCATTGTGACATGTTTAACTTAAGAAGAGGATTCATGCTTAGACAATGAAAACCCAGTGTTGAAGCTCAATATTGATGTTTCTTCATTTGTGTCAGTGGAGATGGTGTAATGTCCTCTCTCAGAGGTTACCAATGATGACATTTTTCCTCAGACCTCAGAGTCTTTACTCAGTTCTCATTCTTCTTGATGTCATTGCATTTGGCAGCCTACATTTACCTAGGTTTATATTTGATACTCTAAGCTATTTCCTTTGGCTTGTGTATAACAACATTGTCCTTACTTCTGTATTGTTCATTCTTTTGTTTGAAGAAGGCCAATACCTGCTCCTCAGTTTGCTAGATGCAGGAGACGTGGTAGTGAATGAGACAGACACAGCCCCTGTCTGCCCTCTTGGAGCGGGTACTCATCCTTTCTTCAACCCTCTCCTTCAGTCTCTTTTCATGACTTAGCCATGGACCTCAGGCCTTAGCTGATTGCTGTAGCTCTGCCAGTCTTCGAAGCTTTCATTTTCTTGGCTTAAGTTACCACCTCTGATGCCAGCAACTTAAACATATCTCTTTATTTCTGATCTTTACCCTGAATTTTATTCATTTAACCATTCAATAAACTTTTATTCAGAGCCAACTGTGTGCCTGGGGCTAAGGATACAAAAATGATAAAGATTGTCTTTGCCCTCAAGTTGCTGACAGACATGCAAAAAGCAGTTTAAAATGCCTTGTAATAGATGTGTGTATAAGGTGGCATGGAACAGATAAGAAAGGTGTGCCTGATTCAGACTTGAAGGGGAAGTAAGAGGGCAAGTATCCCCAATAGAAGGCTGAGCACGTATGAAGGCCCCTAGGGATTTTGAAAGCATAGTGTGTTCGGGCAATAGCAAATGGTTCAGCGTGATTGGAATCTTGGTTGCTTGGGGGAATGTGGAAGATGAGGCTGAACATTTAGGAAGGTGCCAGATCACCTGAAAGGCAATATTCTCCATACTAAACTAATTTTCTCCACCATAAATCAGCTACCCTTTCCAACTTCACATTTCTGGCAGTGAGACCATCATTCACCCTACTTCATGTCTGCCCCAGAAATTGTGCTGAATCATCAAGTTGTGTCATTTCTATATTCAAAACGTTCTTCCATGCATCCTTTTTTGTTTTCACTATCAAAACACCACTTATTCACTTAGTTACTAGATTATTTCAAAGCTCTATTAAATGCTCCCATTTCTTCTCTCTTTTTAGTAAATTATTTCTAAAACCCTTCATTTTACCATGTTGCTGACCCTGAGCAAAAGAGGGCAGTGATGTATTATTTCCTATAGGATAAGTCCATTTTCTTAGACCAGTATTTTAAACCCATGATCTTTTTAAATAAACACGAAAATACCAAATGCTCATACTCCCATGAAAAACTACAAAACTGCAGAATTCAGAGACAGTCTGCAGCAAATAAGATTTTATTCCATTAACTGAGATTTTATTCTGAATGCAACGTATATTTTAGAATGAACTTTTTTAAAGGACAGGTTCCCTCTCTTTTGTGCCCTCTCTCCATCTGCCCCAATCATATCTTCCTTGCCATAGTTCTAACCTATTAATGTAACCAGATTACTTGGCTCCATGGGAGACCACATGTACACTGATTCTGGAAACAAACAGCCTGTGTTGTAATCCTGGTTCCACCACTTACTAGTTTCAGCTAGGTTCTTCATTCTTCTAAGCCTCAATAACTTTATGTGAAAAATAGGGGTAGTGATAATATATGCTTCACAGAGTTAAGATGAAAAAACAAACAAACACCAAACCCGTTGCTGTTGAGTCGATTCCGACTGATAGCAACTGTATAGGACAGAGTGGAACTGCCCCATAGGGTTTCCAGAGAGTGGCTGGTGGATTCGAACTGCTGACCTTTTGGTTAGCAGCCGAGCTCTTAATCACTGCACCACCAGGATTCTGGGTTAAGATAAGTATTGAATTAATCTGTGTAGCCTAGTGCTTGGCATGTGTGAGCTTGCAGTACATGTTGGCTATAAAATGTACCTTAAAATGTCCTTGCTCATTCCCTCTTTGCTCTTGATGTGATCCTCATGCTGCCCTTCCTTGCATCCCTCTACCACTAAATGCTCTCCTTGTGCCCCTGTTGCCTGTGATTTTGTCTGCCCTGTCAAGTTCAATTCAGTTGCCTCTGCTTTAATAGTGTTTTTCTAACTGCTACGGTTCACGTTGACCTCTTAATTCCTACAGCCCTTTTTATAACATTTTAGTAATTAGTCATATTTTCTGCCTTTTATGATATTTATTTTTAAATTTATATACAGTAAAATTCCCTCTTTTTGATGTAGAGTTCTGTGAGTTTTGATACTTTCATAGTCATGGAACTACTATCAAAATCAAAATACAGAACAGTTTCATCACTGTCTATCTTGGCATTGCTTTTTAAACAATTTCCTGAGTATGTGTTCTATTTTTACATGTACAATTTAGGCTCTTGAAACTAGTGTCTAATTTGTATTTCTTATGTGTGTCCTAATCTAGTATAGTGAGTAGATACTTGAAAGTTTGAATTGTATAAAACACATCCTAAAAAGTATGGTAAAATTTGGACATATTAAGAAGGTACTATTTAAGTTTTTTAACTTCTGTTTGGTCTTTTAGGGTCATTTCACTTAGGTGAAAAATTTCAGCTGAAAATTATTCCTTTATAATTTGTTTCAGTGATTTTGGAGCTCTGCCAGGGCTAATAAAAACTATATTTATATTTGGAAAACAGAGGGTTTGTTCTTTTCTTTCTGGTCTTAATATCAAATACACTTATGGTTTCTATTATTTTTTACCCTATTAATATAAAATCTTACGAGAAATGCATTTAGTACGTTTCCCCTCCATTATGTTTAGCTGTTACGATGTTATGATCTTAAATTTATTTACTCTTTTGCCTTTTTTTCCTAAACATACTTACTATGTTGATCAATTCAATTAAAAATGAATTAGTTACAAAATGTAAAATATAAAACCTTCCTATCTTCTCAACTTTATTTTTCCATTGGCCAATTTTGTTCTCTTCCCTGGGTGTTTCTTGTGTAGATTGTCTCTAAAATCAGAGGTCAACGCAAATAAGATAATTTATAGTTGAGAAACACGGGAGTGATATGGCCAAGTGAATGTTGCATGGTTTCCTTAGTCTTCACTGTAGATATCACTGTAGATATTAGGGGGTATTGAACCTTTTTCAGAAAGGGCAAAGTAAGGTTAAGATTTGCATCCCATTCAGTAGACATTACTTCCTCATGAAGTGAATTGAATTTAACCATATGTGTCTTTTTTTTCCCTTCCCCAACAGCTTCCATGCCTATGGCTGTTCTAAATTTGGGCCAAATATATCCATTTCAGAGAGGCATTTTCTGTAATGACAACAGCATCAAGTATCCGTACCATGACAGTACCGTCACATCCACTGTCCTCACCATAGTGGGGGTTGGCTTACCCATTTCCTCTGTAAGTAAATTAATCAATAGGTAGTGATGGGTTTGTTGTGCTGGAGGTTGGATGAAGTGATGGAGTTGGGTGGGAATAAGTCCACAGTACTGTCTTCACCAATGTTGATGTGGTGAATGATTGCTTGAGAAATATACCCACTGTTTTAATCCAGGGACAGTGTTTCCTCATTGAAAGGGGGATGTTAGCCAAAATAACTTGATGTCATCGTAAAAAATTATAGAATAATTTCTTTAGAATGGAAGAGTTCATGTAAGTCATTTGGATCAGTTCCTCTCAGTGTGCAAGTGAAGAAAGTTAGTCCCACATACTTGCTGAAGCCAAATTAGCTATTCTATGGCAGAGCTGAGCTAAGATTATGTTTGTTTTTTCAGATTATTAAAAGGAAAGTAAATTCTTGCTGGAGGCCATAAAAAAAGGAGATAGGTTTATTTATTAAATTTGAGAAAACAAAAAACTCAACAGAGTACATCAAAATGGTATCTTTTTTTAATTGTGAAAGTTAAACAGCAAAACATACACCAGTTCAACAATTTCTGCTAGTATAATTCAGTGACATTGATAATATTCTTTAGGTTGTGCAACCATTCTCTCAATCCTATTCCAAATCATTCTACCACCATTAACATACTCATTGCCCCCTAAGCAAACACTCTCCCTTGCCCCCTCCCTTCCACCTCTGGTAACCGCTAATACTTCCTGGTTTCTGTATATTTGCTTATTTCATGTAAGTGAGATCATATAGTATTTGACCTTTTGCCACTGATTTATTCAGCATAATGTTTTCAAGGTTCCTCCATGTTGTGGCATGCATTAGGACTTCATTTTTCTTTATGGCTGAGTAGTATTTTATTGTATGTATCATTTTTTAAGTTGTATAGTCCTCTAGATAGATAATTAGTTTGTAGGATAATATTGGTTTTTACTATTTCAGATAACTGGAAACGTTCCTTGTAGGTTAAGATTCATGAAGTAGGTTAAGATTAGCACCTGGGATATTCTTTATTCTGAGCTCCGATTCCTGTACCCTGCCTGTTGTTTTTTTATGTGTCTTGACTTACTGGACATAGAAAGGGAGGAGCAGATCAAAGATTTACCTCCATGAGTGGCTTGGGAATGCAGCAGGCTATACTGTATTTCTCCTTTAATCACCTGTTTCCTGTGACTTCGCTTTCTCAGATACTTAATGTCTTAGGCTGGGTTCTCTAGAGAAGCAAAACCAGTAAAGCGTATAAACATATATATACAGAGAGATTTATATCAAGGAAATGGGTCACGTGGTTGTAGAGGCTGGAACGTCCCAAGTCTGTGGGTCAGGATAGAAACTTCTGATTCACATAGCTGCAGAGGCTGGCAAACCCAAGATCTGCAGGTCAGAGAGCAGGGCTCTTGCTCATAAGCTGTGAAGTTGGATGAATCCCAAGATCAGCAGGTAAGACTGCAGGTAAACTGCTAGCTCAAGTCCCAAGAAATAGAGATTAGACAAACAGGAGCCAGCTGCAGGATCCAGAGAGAGCAAAATCCCATGAGCCTTGCCGGAGTGTCCACTTATATTCAATACAGGCCACATGCCCAAGAATTCCCTTTCAGCTGATTGGCTACTCGCAGCAGATTCCATCATGGAGGTGATCACGTTTATATCAAATCTCATTATGGAAGTGATCATCAGATCATATGACTGCCAAACTACATCATAGCTGCCAAACCACTGAGAATCATGGCCCAGCCAAGTTAACACCCAACCTTATCCACGTGACTTAAAAAATTTTTGTGTCTCAGCAGCTTTGTTCCGCCTTTCTTTCCTTATTCTGCCGCCAAATTGGCTAAGAATAATAACCTAGTTCTTTGGTTTTCTAGTTCTTGACTTCAGTTTGTCATTTTGGCTAGGAGCTTTCTATTTTTATTTTTATTATTTTATACTTTAGGTGAAGGTTTACAGAACAAATACTTTCTCATTACACAGTA